AAATGCAATACCCTGCCCTCCGTGGCTTAGCCATTGCTGCAGGGGAACATCCACTCCCCTCCACCCCCCCCCCAACATGGCTGCTCTGAAGGACCCCCCTTTCCCATGGGGGCAAGCTAGAGGCCCCCATCTTGGTTGAGGTCATGCTTTCTCTGCCTTTGATGCCCCTGATGTGCTTCCCAAAATCCACCCCCCTTGACCTCCTCCAATTGTCAGGAGGCCCAAACAGGAGGTAGGAGGCAGAGGGGCTGGGCAGAGCCTGACACACTAACTGCTGGTCTTCCTACCCTTCCACAAATCCCCCTTTTCCAGCAGGGATACGAAGCGGCTGCCAGGCCCGTCACATCAACCACCCCCTGGCTCATACTGCTGTGAGATCCGGAGCCTTCATCTCCTGGAGTCAGAGCTCCCAGCAGGTCAGAACGGCACGTCCTGACTCGGCATGGGGCCTCCCATCTTTATGCATGGCAGGCTGAAGAGCTGCCTTTGCTTTGGCTTTGGTTTTAGGCTGCTGAGGGGTGGCCCACTTGAGACTGGGTGGCCTGACCATGGTAAATCTCTTGGTCTTTTTAGACACGTTGCCCCCACGCTTTTGGAAACATTTTCCTTGCAAAGCCAAGGGATTGTATTTTTTTTTTTTTTTTTATGTCAGGTGGTTGCAATAAAGAGGAGACGAGGGGGAGAGCAATTCTTGGGTTGCCACCTGTGGGGGCTGAAAACAGATGGGTCCTACTTATGAGGAGTTTCGGCAGCGCTCCACAGAACTATGCATTGAAGGTTGGGCCGGTTTAGAAATGAAAATGCAGCTCCCTCTCTACCGTGAGGGAACGTGTGTCTTCTCCAGCCCTTTTGCCTCGTCTGGAGGCGAGCTGGAGTGGAAAGCAAGTCAAATCAATGCGAGTATCAAGGACAGCCATCAGCAGGACCCACGTACGGGCACGTGGGATTCAACCCCCCCTCCAAGAAGCACCTACCTTCTTTTGGTGGCCGCTTGGCTTCTCTGGTGAGGTTGCAGACCTGGGTGGTTTGGAGCTCCTGGGTCAGGCAGCCCTCCGTCTGCTCGTTGAGGGGCAGCACCACGTTATTGAGCAACACCAGAGACTGGTCGTCTATTCCCCACTCTCCCAAGTGCTGAGGGCAGGTGCACTTTGTATACATGATCCCACAGGACTCGGTTCTCCCGTTCTCCGATTTCAAGCAGCTCTCCAACCAAGTGCATAACACATGGCACCCAAACTGGCTGGGGCTCACCTTGTTCAACACCAAAAACTCAAAGAAGGATTTTCGGTCGTCTTCTTTTTTGTGTGATCCCGGGAAATCGATAGGGTAGACGCGTCGTATCTGAATAAAATTCTTGTCGTACTGCAGAAATACAAAAGCATTCTTGGAATCGCAGAGCTGCATGATAGAGTGGTTGTTTTTTAAAAGATCCTTTATTTTTTCATGGGAAAAATGATCAAACTGATAAGCCAAGAGGGAAAAGTTGGAGCAGCTGAGGTCCTTTTTGGAAAATTTCAGGTAAATACTATATTTGGTCGGATCTGGATTTTCCAGCGTCCAAGTGCAGTTTGTGAAGTTTTTAGGAAACATTTCACTTACAGAATACGATCCATAAATGACCCCCTTCACCAACGTGGAACACCAGAAGTCTTGGGCAGCATTAAATCCAAACATAACCAGCAGATAGGTGGAAAATATATAAATCAGCAAATTACGAACAGCCTTCATCCTATGTCATTTGGCCTGCAGGAGACGAAACGAAATAAAAGAGGCAAGTAGACTTCTTCACGCATTGAAAAGCACAACTCCTTCCAATATTTCGAGCCAGCTGTTTTTCAAGCTTGCAGTTAGAGCCCCTTTTCGGAAAGAAGGGCAGGTAATTTTGATTTTATAACGGCGGGGACGGGCTGGCTGCCGGGTGCACAGCGCCATCAGGCGGCCGCCGCCACCGCCGCCCCTCCGACAGCCAAATTAAAAACTTCACATCAATTAGATTATTAATAGGAATGTCCTCTCCTCTCCTCTCCTCTCCTCTCTAGATATCAGTCATCATGGCGTGGACTAGAACTGCTCAACGTCGCTAAAAAATCTAGGCACCCTACCCGACAGACCAAGAAAAGGGGGGATTTCTTTCTTTCTTGATTCAAAAAGTCAATGGGCAGCCTGCTACAGCCCTATCAGCGCACACACAACACGCACTGGCAGAATTTCACCGGAATAGAACAAGACAGCTAGTGGCGTCTGTTGTTATATACTATTTTTTCTATTAAGTCTGAGAAGTAACCGTGAAGGATTACAGCCCTGATTTAAAAATGCACAAATTATTATTTGCTACAGAGGGAACATTATCTCCCGTACGCCCACATGCCGTCGCCCTGGCCACCTGGTATATAGAGGTCTCTATAAAAAGAAAATCCAGGCAAGAAATACAGAGATCAATGTATTCATAAATTTTTGAGACTGTCGGAGAGAGAAACAAAGACAGACGGATCAAACTAGTGCTGGTCTGCCACCACCACAAAGTGCCAGCTTTTAAGATAATAACTCCAATGCACTCCACCCTCTAAGACTATATAAAATGGATATATGGAATTAGTATCTACACCCAGCATGTAGCTGGCAGTGCTACAGTCGGATCTCTGCACCTACTGGACTGCACTTGCCCTCTTATTATGAATATCTTGTACCGTCTGATTAGCTCCTGTGTTTTGCAGATGTGCGCGTGAATGATGAAAGACACATCACATTTTCCCTGCTAGTATCTCCCAAATTAAGCTGTTTTACTGCACCTGTCAACCGTCACAGCCTCCACACGCTCCGTTCTTTTAACAGTGGCCTGGGGCTAATAAAAGCGAACCTTAGTGATATTTACCTCCGCAGTGTTATCCAAAAAAATTCAAAGGGAACGTTTTCGGCATTAACCTTTTGAGAAGTTGCTTATCCCTTGGGAGTGGGTCGCTTCTCACCTCCTGCTCTGAAAGGCAGAGCAGACAGAAGGGATGCCAAGCAAATTTCCAAACTCTCTAGGCTGCGGTCTCTTCCAGTGTTGCTCTGTGAGCAGAGGCAGACCCGGGCAGGCACCGGCGCTGAGTTTGGATGTGTGTCTTTGCCCAGCTTTTCATCTCCTCACCCAAACAGCGAGGCATCTTCTGTCTCCCATTGCGTAACACGCAGCAAATCGCCGGATTAAGCTCCCTTGAAGAGATTTTTTTTTTTATATATCTCAAATTAACAATTCAGAATCTTGAAACGGGCAAAGCAGCACCAACTCTAACCCTCTTTAGAGCAGAGGTTTTTTAAAAAAAAAAAAAAAAAAAAAAAAAAAAAAAGCCGAGCTGCTGCCGAGTCTTATCCACACACACGGCTGGATTTTCTCTTTCCTGAGCGTCCATCTCAATGAATAACATGGTCCTCCTTCTCCAAATAGGGTCGGCACAGCATTTCAGGTTTTAAGAAGAGAAACTTATCAGGAATTCTGGAAACAATTTCCCCTTTGCTGAAGCACTTTGCAGGCAATGCAGTTCTGCGCAGTGTTATTCAGGATGGTGTAGGCGTTGAAAGCCAATGTGACAATAAGTGTCTAAATTAGGTATTCCATCCATGAAAAGGGGTTAATTTTATAATCTGGAAAGCAAAAGGGGGGGCTTATTCGCTTTGCTGTTTGAAAAGAAAAAGAAAGCCTCTGACTTCTCCCATCCTATGTAATATTTGCACTAGAAAAATAAAGCCGTCCGCAGTGCTGGGCTGTTTTCTATGAAGAAACGTAACCAAATAGCCCTCATTTTAGTTCTGCGTTTCTTCATGTGAGGCTACTGGAACACAACATTGTCTTCATCTCTCTCTCTCCCCCCGTCTGCATCACTGACACACACATGCACACACACACACACACACACCCGAATTGAGTGTGCTGGCAGCATTTTGTTTAGTTTGCAGTATTGCTGAATACCGGAGTGAGATCCCCCCCCGGTGAAAGGATGAGGCACTCCGATTAAAGAGATCGCTCTTTTCCACGGAGGAGGGGGTTAAAAACGGCCAACAGAGGCTTAAGGTTGCCCGTTGGGGAAGGGGGAGAACCCTCTCCTGCTGTAAAGCAAACGGGCGTTTAGTTTGGATATTCCCCAAACAGATTTTCTGGGTGACACTGTAGTTTAGCCGAACATAGACGGCGCCATCACTCCACTTATTTTTTCCCCCCCAACAGAAGACCCACTGACTTCTCTTATTTTAACTTCCTATTAACCTAAAATACCCCCCCCCC